ATATCACGCGTGATTATTCAGAGACTATTAATATTATTATATTCTCAGATTTATTCTTAGCGTTATATATTTATGCTGTTTAGATTAGTGAGACCCTGGTTATATAACAATATATTCGCATTGACATCCGCGGGTAGATTATAAAAGGAGAAACTACAAAACTTGCATGAATTTACTGAAAAAGTGCGTCAAAATTAAGTTACTTAACATTCAATAACTTACCAGTGCACAAAATTAGAACGTAAAACTCGTATAAGTATTCATAAGAAATATTAAAATAATGGCGAAAAAGCACAATAAGACGAGCCGTAAAATAAACTAATATTTTGCTACGTTGACATCATTTTTAGATAATTGCGGAAAGAAAAATTCATCATGAACGCACCAACAATAAGTATTTGCACAATGTTGCAAATGACGATCCGATGGGAACAAATAACGCAGAAATACATGGAAGTATGTAATCTAGTTACGTTTGAATGTCAATACTCGTTATAATATTGCAAAATTGAAATCATGGTATTTCTGCTCTGATTCAGCTCGAAAAAAACGACTCGCCATGTTAAATCTTTTAATATCTGCTTCCGAAAAAAAACATTTGAATGATTTGGATATCAAAGAGGAAGTGGATACTTTTATATTCGAAGTAGGTATACTCATGTAATTTTTCTCGACAGTCTGATATATTACACGGATACAACTAACACACAAACTGATTATAAGGTCATGACACAACATCGCTGTCTATATGTTTCACTCTATTACTACTAGCGGAACATAAGAATATTCAGGTACTTCTCTATAGAAACATAAGATATATAACAGTTTAAAAGGAAGCAACTGATTAATTCTGTTCAATCATTAAGTTGTTAATTAATTCCTGTTAAAAAGGTAAAAGCTTCAAGTACTCGTCGCTGTGTATTTTTTTCATGCATTAATCGAAATTAATCGATTGAATGAGATTAATCAGAAACAATAACAATTATAAGCACATAACAATTATAAGCGAACGCAATAATGGCTATAATGATAAATAATAAAAGTACGGCTAAAATCATTTTTGAATTGCGACGCGGAACGGCAGCGGCATTACGTATATTCACAATGTAACTGCACGTCTCATCGGAGCAACGTAACGTGCAGATTCGTGCAGATTCGTGGATAGATATGTGTGAACTGCAAACGCAGTACGGACTGATGCGATTCTCTGCTGTAGAGAACTTTAAACTAACTGATAAGATAATTTGATTAATTAATATTTTTTTGAATCTGTTATATGTATATATATAATATAACAATGTCTTATTTTATTGTATTATTAATATAATATAATTATTATTATAATGATTAAATTTATTAAAGGTTTATCCAATGGTTTAATTATACTAAGTTTGATCCAATTATCTTCTTTTAATAATGTGCTTATCCTAAAATAAATATAAATATACACGTAGACAATTGCTGAAACTATTTCTTTGTGTATATATGAAAATATCACGGAGTAGTGAGGAATGCAATTTTAATTAGTGTTGGTTGTAGGATCGCGTCAGGGAGAAAGTCAATACAGTGATGAAAGAGTGTGAAAGAAAGTTGACTATGACGTCGTTGCACAATTTATCATATTTAGAAAGATGTTTGAAGCAATCGTTGTGGCTATACCCCAGCGTGCATTTTATAGCACGAATCACTGCCGATGATGTGAAATTACGCGGTAACAACCATGAATTTTTTAAAATATGTAAACATATTTTAAATTTAACGTTTTACAATTGTCGTAATTAAATTGAAATGAGATAGCCATGAGTAATATGAGTAATTTTTTATATTTTTTAAACATAGGAATTATCATAATATTTAACTCCTTCACTGTCAGGCGAAAATTGCATCTGAAGTCAGATTTTGAAAATTTATAATGGCGGATCCAATATGGATATAATCAAATATTTTCCTTCTACAGTCGATACTCGATGGCTTTCGGTAAAAACAGAACATGAAGATGATGTAGGAAACGAGCGTTCGATGTTTAATGTCGACTTTCCTCATATTCATTTTTATCTTTCTAGGAGTTTTTATCAAACGAGATTCATCGTAAAATATTAAAATTAAATGTATAGATGTATTCATTTATGATTAGATAGTAACGTGTCGTAAAGTTTATAGCTACATGAAATTAATAATAACGATTTGTTATAACAAGCACAATGGTACATTACAAATTCAAGTCTATTATTTTGGCTGGATATCTTTTTACAGATTTCTTCACTTAACGCGTTTGAATATATATTAA